TAATCCTCAACTGATGGTAGCCAGATCTCAAATTAATCTTCGAAAACACCTTGGCACCCTGAAGCTAATCAAACAAATCATCAATCCTCGGCAATGGATACTTATTCTTGATTGTGACCTTGGTCAACTGCCGATAATCTATACATGTATTCATCGATCCATCCTTCTTCTTAACAAACAACACCAGCGTACCCCAAGGCGAGACACTAGGTCTAATGAAGCCTTTATCAAGCAAGTCTTGCAACTATTCTTTCAATTCTTTCAACTCTGGCGGGGCCATACGATACGACGAAATAGAAATGGGATGAGTGTTCGGAGCCAAATCAATGCAAAAGTCAATATCCCTATCAGGCGGCATACCCGACAGGTCTGCAGAAAATACCTCTTGAAACCACGTGCAACAGGCACATAATCCATAGAAGGAACCTCGGCACTAGAATCATAAACATACGCCAAATATTCCAAACATCTCTTCTCAACCATACGCCGATCCTTCATATATGAGATAACCCTACGGGTAGAATAACCAGGAGTCCTTCTCCACCCGACAAGGCTAAGGTTCTTGGCATGACAGTCCAAGATAGCGTGGTAGGGTGATAACCAGTCCATCCTCAATATGACATCAAAATCGACCATATCCAAATGTAACAGATCTACTCGGGTCTCAAAACCCCCAATCACAACTATACATGAACGATGGACACGATCCACCACAATAGAATCACTCATCGGTGTAGACACATATACATGAGCACTCAGATTCACTAGGCGTAACTAGATACAGGGCAAAATAAGATGACACATAGGAGTATGTAGACCCTGGATCAAATAGAACTGAAGCATCTCTACTACAGACCAAAACGGTACCTGCGATAACTACATTGGAGGTCTCAGCCTCGGTCCTGGCTGGAAGAGCATAACATCGGGGCTGGGCCCCACCACTCTGAGCTACATCCCTGGGACGACCTCCTGCTGGCTGGCCTCCACCTATAGCAGCCTGACTTCTACCTCTACCTCTAGCACCTCTACTCTAACCCCTAGCTGGTTGATCGGGCGGTGGAACACTTGGTGCCTGAACCATAGCACAGGAACCCTGTTGCTGCACTAGGTTAAGCTCTGCCCCTTCCTCGGCCCCTAGCACGACCTGGACCTCGTTCTCTGCCCCTCGTGGAAACTGCCGCTAGGGGCTCGAGCTACTGGTCAGTGGATGAAGAAGCGTGTGTTCTCGTCATCTCGAAAGAATAGAGTAGAAATTCAATTAGCATTGAGAAACCAAACCACACGAAAGAGATGAATAGAAGTGAAACTGTTCCTAACTATATAGCCTCTGGGGATAAGCACAAACATCTCCGTACCGATCCCTCAGACTCTACCAAACGTGTCCGTGAATTGTGAAACCTAAACAACCTAAAGATATTATATATCTTATTACTTTTTTTCTTAACCTTTTAACAATTTTAAATCAACATGCAATCAACAGCGGAATAATAATAATAATTAAAGAAATGCGAAAGACGAAATCTGATAACTTAGCCAAATAATAGTACGAAAAATACAAAATATATCTCTACTTAGAACTGGTGTCACAATATCACGGACCATCTACGAATACTACAAACAATTGTTTGGAAAGAAAGATACAATCTGTCTCTCAAGTAAATGAAAACAGAATATAAGGATAAAGGGGACGCCAAGGCATGTGAACATCTATAGGGCTACCTCGGGTCTCCGCTAGACTGAAGGCAGCAACCACTCTAAGGTCCAAAAGCTCCGGTATCGAGATCTGCACACAGTGCAGGGTGTAATATCAGCACAACCGACCATATGTGCTAGTAAGTGTCGAGCCTATCTCAACAAAGCAGTGACGAGACTAGGACAAGACTACCAAATAAACTTGTGCAGTTAAAGCATATACGACAAGTAATAATAACAAAAACTAGCAGGTAAAGATGGAAAGGGAAACATACTGCGGGGAAATATCATGTACCAACAGTAACTCAGTAGAAAAGCGTAAAAAACATTTTAAAGTTCGCATCAGTAAGAACAAAGAAATAGTAACAAATCAATATCCATTTCTATTCTTTATTGTTGCGGCGCGGAACCCGATCCAAATCATATATCACTGTTACAGCGTGCAACCCGATCCAATCATATCTCACTGTTGCGGCGTGCAACCCGACCCCTCTTGTCCTCCCTTATTGCTCCATGTTGCGGCGTGCAACCCGATCTTATATAGTATTGTTGTGGCGTACAACCCAATCCTAATATACAACTCAACATCAATCACAAAAGAATCTCGAAAAGGGAACAATAAGGAACAACAATATCCCGACAAGGGAATCAACAATGAGAATAAACACATTCCGATAAGAGAACCAACAATAAGAATGAAATACGTCCCGACAAGGGAATCAGCTATAACCAAACTTGTACCAACATTTAACTTCACAAATAAAACCTCAACTGGAACCAATACTCAACCGTAAACAATTACCAAGAGAATAATCATAATTCTTGCCCAACACGGAGAATCAACCACTTGGGCATTTGTAATACTTATTAAGAAACACAACGATTACAATTTAAGATTCACGAGCATACTTGACAACGACGTATAGATACTCGTCACCACACTTATACATCGTATACTACACTAGCACATAGCAATTAAAGCACAATACATATTCCCTCAAGCTAAGGTTAGACCAAAATACTTACCTCGAATTTTCACGGCCAACTCAAGTCTCAAACACCGCTTTTCCTTTAGAATTCGCCTCCAATTTGCTCGTATCTAGCCCAAATTAGTTTAACATCAATAAATGCTAAAGAATTCAACCCCAATGCCAAATTATAGGTTTCTATCATTCTTCTCAAAAAGTCAAAAATCGACCCCAGGCCCGCTTGATTAAAACTCAAGGTTCAGACCAAAACCCGATCACTCATTTACCCACGAGCCCAAATATGCAATTAGTTTCGAAATTCGACCCTTAAACGAGGTCTAAATTTCAATTATTCAAAAAGCACTAACTTTACCCAAATTCCTAATTTCTACCATGAAAACTCTTGATTTTTGATTAAAAATGATGAAAAACATTGGGTAATTGAAAGAGTAAAAGTTTAAAATTGATTACCAACACTTTGGGAATGAATTTGTGTGAAGAAAATCGCCTCTAGGCCTTGGGAGTTCGAAAATATGGAGAAAATGAGTTTTGCCCGTTTTGAAATCTGTTTTAAAATGACTGGGCGGGCCTTCATCGCGTTCGCAATGGGTCAGGCCCAAATGGCCTTCGCATTCGCGATCAAATGGCCGCGTTCGCGTAGAACAAAATCCCTTCCCCCAATCCCCGACCAAAAGGCCTTCGCGTTCGCGAAGAGTAACACCCACAAGGCTTCGTGTTCGCGACCTGTGTTTCGCGTTCGCGTATAAGGAATTTTCCTTCAGACTAACTTACCCTTCGCGTTCGCGAGAGTCCCTTCGCGAACGCGAAGAACAAAACACCAGCACACTAGAAACAGCAAACCTGCAATTTTTCCTAAGTGTAAAAACATCCCACAGCCTATCCAAAACTCAAGCGAGCCCTCGTAGCTCCAAACCAAACATGCACACTAACTCAAAAACATCATATGGACTTATTCGTGCGATCAAATCGTCAAATTTAACACCTTTAACAACGAATTTAGTATCAAAATCAAAAAAGAATCTCAAGAACTCTTTAGTTCCAATTTTAACAACCGAGGGTCCGATTCACATCATATCAAGTTCGTTTCTTACCTAATTCTACAGGCTTGACTTAAATACCATATAAGACCTATATCGGGCTCCGGAACCAAAATATGGGCCCATACCGTCAAATTCAAACACATTTAAATTTCCAAAAACTCTTATAATTTCAGTTAAACAATTTTCTTCAAAAATTCATTTTTCGAACTTGGGACCTCGAAATTCAATTCCGGACATACGTCCAAGTCCCATATTTTTCTACGGACTCTCCGGGACCGTCAAATCACGGGTTCAGATCCGTGTACCCAAAATATTGACCGAAGTCAACTTAAATTCAATTTTAAAGGCCAAATTAGCATTTTCATCATATTTTCACATAAAAGCGTTCCGGATATACGCCCAAACCGTGCACGCAAATCGGGATAAAATAAAAAGAGGCTTTTAAAGTCTCGAAATACAGAATTTACTTGTAAATCAAATGATGACATTTTGAGTCATCACATAAAGTGAGCCATAACCGAAGAAAAATAAGAAAGCATGCTTACAATGAATGTATAGTATCTTGATCTAAAACCACCAATCTGTAATATTATAGTTATACTTGCATCAGATAAGTGTTTAATGTGGATGGTATATCTTTACAACCCAGTATAGCTGTGCTTACATTGCTGAACATAGTTATTGGTTACTTGTAGTTCGGTACAAACAAGAAAAGCATAAATTGTGTCAATCTTAAACTCTTTTAGTTCTTAAAAATCCTTAGCATATACATAGCTCCTTTCTCATTTTAAAATTAGACACGCTTTTCTCTCTTCATCATTTATGGAGAAGGTTAACGAATGACCAGAAGTCCATCTTTAGATGCTTAATAAAACTATTTTAGATAAAGAAGCTGATATAAAGATAAGACTAAAGACATTAAAATAGTAAGCTAAGAAGTGTAGTATTGCATTTTCTTGAATTTTTAGAATCATGCTCCTCCCTTTGCTCCATGATAAAACCGGATATAAATACGTTCTGCATTGTTTGTCTCGCCACATTAATATTAAGGATATAAATTATGTTCCGCATTATGTCCTGTCTTCCTCTTATGCATATAGATTACATTCTATTCAAAGAGGAAACCAGAACAGAGTACTTCAATTTTTCATATTGCTTCTACTCTTTCTTCCTCCCAAAACCAATCAAAGAACCAAATACCAAGAAAAAAGATACAAGGTCAAAAATAAAAACACAAGCATGTGCACAGCGAGAGCAGAAAGAGAAGCAAAACCAAGAATTGAAATAAACAAAAGAAAAGCAGAACAAAGAATTGATAGAAATAAAAATGTAAGAAAACAACTAATTAGATGTAGTAACAATACATACACAATTCAGTGGCTAAATAAAATTCATCATTAAAAGCAGAACATAAACGATAACCATGAGAACAAGGACTAGTTTTAACTTAACCTCAACCAGGGAAATTTTCTCAAATTGAAGAAAAGTGGCACTGGTCGCGGCCGGCCCCCTGTTCTATAAGCAGAAATGAACAGAGCCAAAAACTTCAAGGGCAACAAAGCCATAGATGTTTAGAGAGCCAAAAAGTTTGACAAAATGCAAAAACGGTGTAATAACGAAACCCTAAGTTAGAAAGGAGTGACTTCAGCTCACCTCGATGCAACTATATCTGCGAGAATCAACCAAACCCTAGAAATAAAAAGTCAGCAAGAACTGAAATTGTCGGAATTTGTTTATTTTGTTGCTTCGGTAGCACAGAAATTGGAATTAACGGGAAATGTGAGTTTTTCATGAATAATGATGTGCAAGAGAAAAGTCAAATTGACCCAAAAAGAAACTGAATCAAACCAACACAAAAAAAAAACGATTGTACCTTAATGTTACTCAAACTTCAACTTCTGGGACATAGACCTCTGCTACCTCTTTTAAATCTCCTCCTTTATTCAAAAATGAGATGGGTTTTCTTCTTGGCCGAGAGGTAATTGTGTCTCTGATGGTAAACAATGCGAGTTAAGAGAGGAAACCCTAAACTCCTTTTAGATATGAAGGGCCCAGAGGGAACTGGGGTGAAATATTAAACCTTTTCAGTATATCAGTATTTATATTTAAGTGTATAGATATATAAAATTATTTTAAGTACTTATTCAGCAATATTAAGGTACAAAAAATACATGAACTTATTTCAACTAATAGTAAAATTTATAGGGAAAAGGCCATTATTGCCCATGTACTATTGTATATAGTATACGTTTATCCTCCATTTCAGTTTACACCCAAAATTCACCCTACTGTTAACAAAATAAGTGGAACTGCCTCTAACCCTAACGGATGGACAATGTGACACCTAACCCCGCAATATTTTTGCCACATAGGATCCAAGTCAGCTTTTCATTAAGTTGGCTAAGAATTAATGAATAACTGACTTGAAATCCTATGTGACAAAAATTTTGCTGGGTCAGGTGCCACATTGGCCATCCGTTATGGTTAGGAGCAGTTTCACTTACTTTGTTAACGGTAGAGTGATTTTGGACGTAAATTAAAACGGAGGACAAACGTGTACTATTTTCCATAGTATAAGGGTAATAATGAACTTTTTCCCAAACTATATATAAGTAAAAATAATAATCAATATCAAAATAAAATAATTAGTGGCGACATATAAGGTGCCACCAAAACTCCAGGAGCGATAATGTCCCCACAACAAGGTCTTTAGAAGCGGCTTTTTAAGGTCGCCACAATACATTTTCAACCATATTTTATTGTAAAAAACTACTCTCTCCGTTTCAATTTATGTGAACCTATTGGACTGGACATATAGTTTAAGAAAAAATGAAGACTTTTAGAATTTGTAGTCCTAAACAAGTCAAAAAGGGACTCAGAGTATTTGTGTGGTTATAAAAGTTTCTCGTTAAGGGTAGAATTGTAAGTTTAAGCTAAATTGTTTCCAAATTTAGAAAGGGGTCATTCTTTTTGGAACGGACCAAAAAGGAAATAGGTTCATATAAATTGGAACAGAGAGAGTAGTACATTTTTGTAGCGAACTATATGCTATTTTCTACAGCGTCGGTAAAAGAGTCGCCGCTAAAAATATCACTTTTGTGGCAACCTTTTGAAGTCGCCACAAAAACTACTTTTTGTGGCATCTATACATGTCGCCGCAAAAGATCGTCACAAAAAATCATATTTCTTATAGTGTTATTTGCCATTTTAGATATTCAAGACTAAATTAATTAGTATTTTTTTTTTACTATTTTAACCTTAATATTAATTGTTCTTAAATACCACAAATATCTCAATTATGAGTAAATATTAAATGAAGAGAGATTATATCTTAAGATATAAATAAGGGTAAAACAGTAAAAAAATCTCTTATATATATTTTCTTAAAGGTAGTGTAAAAGATAAACACAACAGATATTTTGAGACAGAGGGAGTAGGAATTACACCCTTTTAGGAGATGTACGGATTTCGAAAGCAAACAAATTTATTTTTTACCCAAATATTTTTTATATGACCTTTAAATTTTTGAATTGTTATTATGTAAAAAAATATATTTAATTAAATATTCTATATCCAAATTTACTCTCAAAATTGAGAAATTTAACTTTCAAAAACCAAACTTCATCACATCAATTAGGCCCGAGGGAGTACATAATTTCATAGTTCTTCTTTTTCTTTCAACCTTATGAAAGAAAACAGTTTAATATCATTGCTCACTATTTCATATCCTTAATATAACTTTTTGTAATGTTTAAAGAGTTTTTTTCACCCGATATAATTTATCCGATAAAAATTTTCAGATAAATATTATCGAGTAATTGGTTGAAGGGAATAATTTTTATCTGATGAAAATGATAATGTATCGAGTTCTATATCTTTATTGCGATAAATTGTACGTTCACTAATCATAAATTCTCAAGGCTGACATGGCAAAACCTTGTTCACATGTTTGCTGATCTGGCATGCCTATATGGCTTTTCGGAGGTCGAATAAGGGTTTTTATAGCATTTTGATTGTGTGAACAACGTTTGACTCCACCAAATCCAAAAGTGGACAACACCATGTTCTTGGAAATACCTCCACATTTTATTTTAAATGTTTTCAATAAAGACAAATCGGGAAGGGTCGCTATGCTATTTCTGTCCCTAGATTTTACTCCCTCCGTTCATTTTTACTTGACATATATAATAAAAATAAATTTTTATTTTTACTTGTCACTTTATGCATGTCAAGAGAAGACAATTTTTTTTACTGTTATACCCACAATATTTATTACTAATTTCAAATCATTTTTTCAAGTTTAATAAAATATGCATAAATTAATATGGGTATCATGGTAAATTATGCACTTCATTTATTATTTTTTAAGAGGCATGAAAAGTCAAACGTGTCAAGTAAAAGTGAACGGACGGAGTAATAACTAAATTGATCTGATTTTCCTTGGAAAAAAATGTAAAAATGTATTCATTTCTAAGTGACAAAAATTAGTTTTGACTTTACAGCAAAAGAAGAAGAAAATTAAAATAAAAAAATAAAAAAGGAAGCGAAAGCTAGTTTGACAATATATGAAATTTATCCAATATATATATTCTTCAATTAGTTTTCTAATCTTTTTGTAATGAGATTAATTAATATCGTTTAATCCAAGATAAATTTAAAATAAACAGATTATAATATACATTTATCCTCTCTCTGTTCATTGATCTTATCTTTCTTTTTCATTTTTCTTCTTTCTTTTGAGGGTGGGAGGAGGTCGGTTTCTTGTTTTTTTCTAAAAGAAATTTTCAGCTTATGTTTGGTAATCGTATTTCGACGTCGATTAATTTTAAATTGAAAAACAACATAGTATAACTGCTTCAAAAAATAATAGTAGGCAAAATGTATATTTTATATATATTACTATACAATATACATAAATTATACATCTTTTATTCAGTATTATTTTTGTGTACTTGAGAGCAGATGTAATTATTTTTGAGGACCGGCTAAATGTGACCTACCCATTTATTAGATTCGTACTGTGTAAGACCCATTAAAGAGGGAATAGCTTATTATCGATTTTTTTTAATAATTAAAATCTGAAACCCAATAACTTTAATTAAGGCATATTATCACTTTTGTATATACATATACATTACGTATGTTATATATAAAAATTATACAAATTATATATATATTTTTGACTATTATTTTTACATCGGTTAGTGGGTTATTTCTTGTCAAATTGTTATAAACTAGTAAAGTTGGAGTTTATTAGTGGACGACTTTTGCTAGCCAGTAAAGTATTCCATCTTTCTAGGAACTAACGTACGAACCAGCTGTGGAGACATAGAAAGCACCATAGGTGGACCAAACTCGTCAATATATTATCTCTAGTTTTGATATATAGGGAATCCAGCGCCAATACCTGAACCACATAATTTGGAAATGATTTATCTTGAGCTGCTGATATAAAATAATTTGTTTTAAATTTCAAATTACTAATCTTACGTTTTATGAATGGTTACACACATATATTTCTTAAGTTATTTTTAAGTTATAAAAATCTATGACACTGCTAATGTATATACTACAGTTAAATATTTGGAAATATCTGTTTTCTAAGCATATGAAACACAACATATGTATGCAAGTACTAGATTTGTTAAGAATTTTTTGGTTATTAAAACTCTCCAAAACAGAATACCGAGACAAGTTTACTTTAATTTAACTCTAATATGAGACACATTAAGTAATAGAAAGGGTTATCTTATGAGTTGGTTAATTAACTTAGGAACTAACAATAAACCATCATAAACTATATTTCAATCCTTCCGGAGCTAATAGAACGAGACGTTGTTCGAGCTTTAGGCATTACAACTGAGGTTACTTCATATTTTTCCCTTTATTTCACTTTATTGAAATTTTCTACCGAATTCTGTCGAAAATTATAAATTTATATTTATTTTTTAAATAAATTAACAATTTATAAATAATTAATGCAGGATGATGAAGCTCCAATCAAGTCAAATGAAAAACTGATAGAGACTTCTGAATTGGCAAAGAATGTGTAACCACTAATTATTATGGAGCAAAAAAAATGATTGAAGCTTTTATTCCACTACTCCTCTTTGTCTCCTTTACCAAAGGTTGTTAATATTTCTTCATTGCTTGGAAATATTAAGGTAATCCTAACTTAACCTTTGGACTATTTCCTTAAAGAACATAGAAATTACTTTTTTCCCTCTTTTTCTATTTGCTAATTATGACTTAGTAAAATATGGTAAAAGTTTATCTGCACCAAACAAATTTAAATATAAGATATATATTTAAAACTTTGTGTAGGTTTCGTAATGTCCAACAACATCTGAATTGTTAGGGCCAAAATTATTAAATTTTACCTCAAAATTTAACTGTAGTACCTAATTTGAGATAAGTACTAAGAATCAAACACAACAACAATAACATATCCAGTATAGTCCCACCGGAAATAGCAGAAATCAAATATTTACAATAAAAAAGTAAAAAGTTGTAGCTCACAATATCACATTTTCTTGCATTTTATCATTTTTTTCTTTTTCACCTTCCCGTGTTTGAAAGAGATCCTTACACAAATAGCATGTCAGAATATATATTTTTAATTTGAGCAATTAGCTGATCCACTATTTAAGTTAATTCTTTTTGTTGGTTGACATACTTTTCAGCTAGTATCAAATGAATGGGCCATAAAAACTTTAAGTGATGTAGAAGGCCTTACGACAGAAAAAGTGGATGAAGTATTGAATGAGTTTCTTATGGATTTCAAAGAGGGTTTATTAGAAGAAAAGAATTTTTACATTCCTATTCCATATAGAAAACTATATTACCTTTAATATTTAAGGTTTGATTTAATTATATTTAGTATATTTAATTATCAATTCTATATCATAATGTGTTTTAACTGTACAATTAATATACCGTATATCACTTTTTAATTAACGCTACCGTATATTCCTCCAAATCCCCACCCCACACGTTTCTCTCTCCCAAACCCACCCCCACGTTAATGAATTTGAATATGAATATCATCAAATCATCCACTTCTTCAAATAACAAGAGCA